ATGTAAATAAACAGGAATTCAGGGGTATGCATGTAAATGAACCCAACATAAAATCTTACAACAGCATGAACGCTTGCTACACCAGCAATTAACTCCCCACTGCATTAAGAAATGTTTGAAACAACTAGAGTAGAGATATCATTCAGCTTCAGCAATCCTAAAACAAAACATGGAGATATACTTGGGATAAAACATCAAGAACTGTGTGGTACTGTATATAAATGCCCTTTAAGGATGTGGAAATAACTTGCTTTATCTAAGAGAGCAGGAAATGTAGAAGTACAGAATCAAGATTCAGGTAATTTTGCAGTCAACATAAGCTTGGGAATGGATTGGACCATCCACAATGTGGACCAGCATTTGCTTGTAGCTCCCACAAATCATTGGCCAGATTCCTTCATAGACTAGCTCAGCTCAACTTCATCAATTTATAAATACTTTTTATTGTCCCCCTTCTGCTTCTAGGCTTTCCCAACTAAAGTTTTTTTTTTTTTCCTTTGCTAGCCAAATTAATCTAGATTAGTAAACAAAGACTAGTGGTTACATATCAAAATTCCAAAAAACTGCCATGAATGCATCATAATATCAATCCATGAGTATAGAGGTTGCAATAACAGCATCCTTAGTTTGAATAAATAATGAAATCAAGTTTTACTGCCAATGTTAAAAGAGGAAAACTTTTTCCATTTTTTGTCTTTTTTTGCTATTCACTTAAAGACATCTATTTATAACAAAAGCGAATGCAACATCCTATAATAACAAAATATATTTACACCACTAAAAATACATAGAATGCTTTCCAATTTGTATACTTCCCTTTAAGCTAGATCATATATATCAGTTAGCTTCAACCTGGTAGAAAATAAAAAGAAAAATGAAGGGCCAAATCTTTTGTCAGAATATCGTGACTTTTTTCTGAATTGGAAATATGAGAGGCAGCATTCTTCTAAAAAAACACATCTCAAATTAAATATCAACCTATCTGATTGCTTTATGGAAAACAAAGTTGTTGGTATTGTATATTGTAGAATGATTGTCACACTAGGGATCCTTCGTGCAATTGAGAAGAAGTTGAGTGCTCTGGCTTGGGATCGCAAAGGCTAGGGCAGGGCGAACCACACGCCTTTTTGTGCAGGGAGTAGTCGTTCGACTTTGACAAGTTGAAACACATGGGTGATTCAACGTAGCGGCGAAGAGAGGTTCAAAATAAGGGAAGAAGATGGGTTTGCGATTACCTACCTTGCTTCCTGGTTTCGTTGTTGGTCGGGGAAGAAAAAAGCTCAAGGGTCGCGGGGTTGGGTAGGCGAGATGGCGAGATGGCGAGATGAACGCTAGGGCAGAAACAACGCGGTGGCCAATTTGGAATAGGGGTTGGGCAGGCGAGATGGCGAGATGGCTGGCGGAACACAGGGTATAGGGCAGAAACGCGCGGGGGTCAATTTGGAATAATAGCAAGGCGAAAGCTGGTGCCGCGGAGTTGATCCCGCGACCCGCTTTTCGTTTACTTTCGCGTCATTCGGCCGCGAAGTTGAAAGAGAAACATTAGTTGTTCACGGTTTGGGGCCGCGCCGCTCGAAAAAAGTTGCCCCAAACGGACCCTAAATCAAAATCATTTAAACTTTTTATAATTGTCACCATCTTTTATTTAATTTCAAGATTTTTGGAGTTTCTCTTAAGTTTTTAGCTCCTTTCTTATCTCATTACCTCCCAAATGTTATCTAGTGGTGGACTATGATGGACATTAACAACAAAGTTATAGGAGGTGGCAGTTGTTGTTCTAGGGATTCAAGTGCTTTAGGGAATAGGCTAGGGGGAGGGGGGGGTTTTGTATTCGTTTTCCAAGATGGATGCATGTCATTTGCCCATTATGTGATTGACCCAACCTGGTTTGCAACTCGGTGAAATTAAATTCTATAAGGTTGTAGTTTTCTAAGATGAATGATATGGGTGTATATAAATTATGCTTTTATTTTTGGTGTAAAATAGGCAGTTGTTCTTGATTTAAGTGGTCTACAATTTGAATCCCCTTGAAGTTTGTTCCCTCCTTTAATCAGCCTATTTTAGTTGATGTGGATGATGATGTTGATAACATCTACTTAAAGGTGCTATTGGATCTTTGTCATTTGTTTTTTTTATCTCCAACATTTTTCAAAAAGTTAGGGCTTATTCAGGGCATCGAATCAGGTTTGTGAGTTGAGTTCAAGGCTGACTTGAAATTGATTCGACAAAACCCTTAACCCGGACCCAACCCGAACATTAAACGATTCAGAAAGTCCAATTTGAACATGATTCGCCTTCAACTGAGCAAACTGAACCCGAATGGTATAATCGGTTTAAGATAAGGGATAATAAGTATTGATGTCAAATTCCGGTCGATTTGAGTCAACCATGGGATAATTTTGGGCTAGTGTGCGATTTCAAGTTAATTGTGGGTCAATTTTTTGTTATTTTTGGGTTAGCGGGTTGTTAACCTGAATCCGACCTGAAAAATTAAACGGTTTAGGATTTTTAACCCGAATCTAACTTGATTCTAAAATTATTGAGGTCTGCCTGGACCCGGTTTTTTTTGGAGGTAGATCAAATTGGTGTGTTGGGGCAATTTTTTACACCCCTAGGGCTTATAAAGGAAAGCTATTGGCTAGAATCATTCAGTTAGTTTTATTCCTTGGGGTGATTTGCCTGTGTTTGGTAATTCATACTATTATAAAATCTTCTTTCTATTGCTACTTTGTTCTCAAAGAAAATTTTCAGAAAGCCTATTATGAATTTTGCTATTTTCTTTTTTTAATTGAAAACTAGCTTCATGACATCATTTTTATATATCATATTTGATATTTCTTTTGTTGCTTGATTATTGAATTTTAGTTTTGTGGCTATTTTTGGTTTTAGAGTATTAAAGTTGAAAATTGAGTTTTGGAAGGACTTACAACCCTCACCTTTTAACAATATCATTGATAGTTACTTTTAATTATTCCTTGGTTTTATAGATTTTGCTTGCCCTATTTTTTAAGCATTTTTCAACTTGTATTAATAAATATTTGAAATTTTTATTTACAGTAGCCGGCCCAAAAATAGTTTAGATTATGCCAAGATGATTCACAACCCCTTAGTACTGAAGCGCTCCCTGGACTATTTAAGCATGACTAGTTTAGTATCAGTTTTTTATTTGGTTAGTCTCTCAAGTTAACAAATTCTTACTTTTAATAATTCTTTTGTTTTATAGATTTGGTTTGCCCAATTTAATAAGCATTTTTCAACTTGTATTAATAAATATTTGAAATATTTATTCGCAGTAGCTGGCCCAAAAATAGTTTGGATGGGCAAAGATGATTCACAACCTCTTAATACCAAAGCTCTCTGTAGACTATTTAGGTGTGACTGGTTTAGTCTCAGATTTTTATTTGGTTAATCTCTCAACTTATCAAACTCTTACTATTTGGTCCTTCTATCGTATCCAGCCGTTTGGAATGGTAGAAGTTGGTTGTGGGAAGCTGATGTTTATGCAATTTCTGACTTCTTATGCTTGTGTATATGACATTATGCGGTAAATTTATTTTCCAAATTCACTGCATACGCATAAAATATGTAGGTTTTAATTAAAGCTATTTTGTCTCTTCTGTTTTAGGTGCTTGAATTCAAGCACCAGACTTTGAACAATGGAAAATAAAAACCAAATTTATGATCAGATGCAAGCGCCTACCATTAGAATCTATTTCAACTGAACTCATCATGTGCATTAAGAAATACAAACTGATGTCAATTAAAGACATGCCAGCGCAACATAAAGTTAAATATAAGTAGCTGAAATTAAAACATTGAGTAATCTAATTATAATGATTGCATTGTTTGTTTACATGAAGGTACTGTTTTTCTTAATCCAATTTAATTGATGCCTGTGCTCAATAAAAGAAGTACATTAAAACTCTACACCTGGATAATTATAAGCAACATCGTATCCAGCCGTTTGGAATGGTAGAAGTTGCTTGTGGGAGGCTGATGTTTATGCAATTTCTGACTTCTTATGCATGTGTATAGGACGTTATGCGAGAAATTTATTTTCCAAATTCACTGCATACGCATAAAACATGTATGTTTTAATTAAAGCTATTTTGTCTCTTCTGTTTTAGCTGCTCGACTTCAAGCACCAGACTTTGAGCAATGGAAAATAAAAACCAAATTTATGTTTCAGATGCAAGCGCCTACCATTAGAATCTATTTCAACTGAACTCATCATGTGCATTAAGAAATATGAACTAATGTCAATTAAAGACATGCCAGCGCAACATAAAGTTAAATATAATTAGCATAAATTAAAACATTGAGTAATCTAATTATAATGATTGCATTGTTTGTTTACATGAAGGTACTGTTTTTTTTAATCCAATTTAATTGATGTCTGTGCTCAATAAAGGAAGTACATTAAACTCTACACCAGGATAATTATAAGCAACATGGTGTAACAGAAATGACAACTTCATCACCTAAGAAGCAGTTCAATGCAATTATCTCAATTAAACTTGAAAAATTCAACTTAAAAGGCTGAAATTTCCTTCTGCTTTTGTTTTTTTTTACTACTTTTGTAATTTTCAAAAGGCTGAGAAAGGCTATTATTTGCTGGCTGAGAGACTAAACTGAACAGTTAGAAAGTTCTTGGATTAAAATGGACACAATTAAATAATCTTGGGTTTACTTTAATCATTTTTCTCTTACTAAATCTGTCCTATATAAGTTCTGATAAATAAACTATGTTTTCACTGCGTCATTTACATGAAAAATTCTGTAGTTTTCTGAACTCTGAGGCACATAGCATGAGCTTTACATTTGTCTTAAGGGAAGCAATTTGTAACAGTGGAGCAACCTGTTTAAATGTTTCTTTTAGATGTCATAACAATCATATAGTGTACATTGTTTGGAGACATCTTTGAACATTGCGTTCTTTTCCTGATAAAGCTATTCGGTGCATTTGGTTGGGGGTACTAATTGCTCTACATGTTTTATAGGTCAAATCCAGTGCATTCTGTGGACAAAACTTATCCGCTCTCCAGAGTAGAGAGAGAATTGTTACAGAGACCTGATAATGATTTACAGGTTCAGTTTCATTGCATTTAGTTCACTCGCGCGTTATAGTTTCATAAAAATGGTATATAGATGAATTACTTATTTCTAAAAGCACAATTTTGGGATTTACTAGAAATGATATCTTGAATTCCTATATGAAGATGTAGTATCTATCACCGGCTGCCTCTCTTATTAAGCATAGGCCTTATGTATAGACACAAGTTACATTGTATGTTAAGGAAGTAGAGATATACATCGAAACCCAAAAAAGTGGAATAAATTTAGAATATTATGTTATCGAGTCTCTAAAAGATTATATAGATGAATTTCTCCTAGCTTCTGCTGTGAGGCCTACTCACACTCCAATCATAGCATAAAAGTTAAGGCACACGAACCAAGGCCTTGTTGGACTGTTGGATCAATTACTCTATGGCTCTTAGATTGCAATCTGTGTGGCCCCTTATTATTATTATTTTTTTTATATTTTCCTATTTTATAATGCCTATTTAAAGATGTATATATACTTCTATTATATAAAATAAGAAAAATAAAAAATTTCGAGGGTTTATATTTGTCTACTTTTATCAAAGCAATGTTAAGATTTTATGGTTTCTCGCTTCCAACCTCTTTTAATTTACACAATTCTTCTTTATTTTATCTAAATTCTTTGACTTTCTTTCAAAGGAATCGACCCATGATTAATTTTGCAAGTTAGACTGAAGGAGCACTCTAGGAATTATAAATATCTTATTGCTTGAAGAGGAAAAATTATTTTAAATGGTTCTAAATTGTGAAGATCTTTCTGATAAGAAAGGAAGTGATTTAACACCTTATAGATCTACTTCTGGAGCCTATAGACCAAATGCTCGTATTTTGGGAAGAAGTTAATTCCACAATCATAATATGATGATGGAACATCATGCTACTTAGATTAATGAACCATTTATATTTTTCTCCACCACAAAAGAGATTTAAGATGTAATTAAACAAACCTACTCAATGGTGAAAGACGTTGCACTCATCCATGAAATGAAGACAAAGTTCATTACTACCAAATAAGATAAACTTCTTGTTATTGAATATTTAAATATCATCAAGAATTGTTGGTTGTAGTTGGATTACAACCAAAGATCTCAACTTATCATGTTGTTAAAATGTGTTGATGCTCAAACAATTTATGGAGAGAGTCATTGATTTTATGACAAGACTCAATAATTAATTTGGCCTAATTTGAAACCAAATCTTAAGAAAAAGAGGTCTCCCTTCCCTATTTGAAATATTCTCTATCATATGGGCCGAAGAGGCAAGAAAACCAATGATGATCAATCTAAAAATTTGCCATGATAACGTTTGAATCCCATGGTAAGGGATTTTCTATCACAAAATGTTCTTAAAAAACAAACAAATTTTCTTTCAAATAAATCCTTGGTAAAACTACTACAAAAAGAAAAGGCTTATCGAAGATAAATATTCGAAGCTTCATATTAAGCCTCAAGCCTTTGAAGGAAATAAAAAAGATATTGCCCAGTGGAGTTAGAAGGGCTCAACTTAGAAGAGATTAAAAAATTATGAAGTCATCTCAATTTATTAAAAACCATCCACATCTTGCTATCTTGCTTATGTGGTACGATTTTTATTTCTTATGTCTTTAATGCTTCAAATAGTTCTCCCTCATGGATGCTAGATTCAATAGCCACTGATAAATTGACAAACCGCGTCATTATATTTAAAATTCATAAACCATGTCCCAGTAATATAAAATAAAAAATGCAGATGGATTTAAAGACTATTGTAAGACATGGAGACATCACAATTTCTCCCAACTTAATCATCACTAATGTAATATATATTCAACAAATTATAGTTAATTTTTTATTTATCCACAAATTTATCAATTATCATAATGGTAAATTTATATTCTTTATAGATGTTTACATTTTTATAACCTCACTAAGACCAGACAGTTAGGCATGCTAGAGAAAAGGATGAGTTAAACCTTATTAAAAATTGAGATCAACTATCATGCTCTTTCACCACTCACCACCAATATCATCAGGACACGCCACTATAAATTAGGGCACCATATTAAAAATATTTAATATATGTTTCATTCTCTTTTTCATAATGCAAACATTAAAGATTTTAATTTGTAAAATTTGTGAAATTACTAAACAACATTGTGCTTCATTTACTGAAAGTAACTCTAAATGTTCTTATCATTTTGTGTTAATTCATTATGATATATGGGGACTCTAAAAAATTCTCAATATTGGAAGCCGTTGATTTTTGTTTTTATTGTTGATTACACACGAATGACATGAGCATATTTAAGCAAACAAAAATTTGATGTTAGTTTTTCACTAATTTTTGCAGTCATGAGAAGGAATCAATTAAACTCTAACATTAATTTTTTTTTGGATTAATAGTGCTCATGATTATTTTAACCACACATCATCATTTTTTCTAGAAAGAGGGTATTATCCACCAATCTTCTTGCCCTGATACTTTCAAAAAAAATGAGTGGTCGAAAGAAAATATTGTAATCTTTGGGAGGCCTCTGGGACACTTCTCCGCAATCAAATGCCAAAATAACGTTGGGATGAAGCAGTTGTAACCATTACCTTTTTAATCAATTAAAGTACCTTCATAGTGATTAATTCTAAAATTTCCTTAAATTATCTGATTGAGTTCTTTCCTACAAACAACTTATTAAAAAATTCTTTCTAAAATTTTTGTATATATTACATATGTTCATATCCATAAATAATATAGGAGGAAATTTTTGATCTGATAGCTCCTAAAGTGGATATTTTGTCACTCAATAATTGTGCAAGTGACTTCATATATCTAAAAGAGATTTCTCATTTCAATGGATGTTACTTTCGATGAAACTCATATTTTTTACTTAAATTCATCTTCAAGGGGAGAATTCTCAACTTGAAGATAAATTTAATAATATACACATTTGAAGCGCAAAATCCGACAAATGCAAGTCTTATAGTAGCCATTCTTCTTCAAATTTATGCAATAAGCTCAACTGAAGTATTTAGCAAGCTCAGGACTCAAAATCGTTATCGGGCAACAGTAACCAGCCTACTACTATTCATTTGTATTCTCTCACAATACTTTTTGTTTCATAAATTTTCCCCTTTATAAAGTTTTCTAATAAACATTAACGTCATTTCTATTTTATTCCACAAACTTTATTTGAGACACTTTGAAAGCATAAATTGGAAAGAGGCTATGAGAGTAGAGATGTCAGTCCTAAAAAATCATACATGATAGATTGTTGAACTACCAAAAGAAAAGAAGATAGCAGAATGAAAATGGATCTTCATGATAAAATTCAAAGCAAACTTGAGCCTAAAAAGATACAAAATAAGATTGACAGTAAAGTGATATACTCAATCATATAGAATTTACTATAAAAAAATATTTTCTTCTGCGGTAAAAGTACTACTTGCATATGATATCCATAATAGTAAATTTTGGTTAACCTATAAAACAATATGATATAAACAATTTTTTTTCTATATGGCGGCGTTGAAGAAGTTTATATTAATCCTCCATCAAGATTTTAGAGCCCTTTCAAAAACAAAATGTGTGCTACAAGAGATGACTATTATGAGAAAAAAAAAACTTTTAAAAAATGGGAAGAGCCCATGAAACTATATTGTAACAATAAATCGACAATCAACTTCGCACAACCCAATACAACATGAATGTACCAATCATGTTGAAGTTAGTAGGAACTTCATAAAAGAGAAATTGGAACTTAAACTAGTTTGTAGTATTTGCCTATAGGAAATCAACTGATCGACATATTTACCAAACGTATCTGCATTCTCACATCCAAAAAATATTATAAGCAAACCTGGAATAGTAGATCTTTATATTTTTTGTGGGGCCCAATTACTCTCCAATCATTGTAAAGAAGTTTAGGCACACAAATCAAGGTCTTGAACTTTTGGATCAATTTGTCTATGACCCTTAGATTGCAATTCTTGTGCTCTCTTATAATGTTGCCGACCCCTATTATTTTTCTTTTTTAATTTATTCCTATTTTGCTATTGCTCTTGAAGATGTGTGTGTGTGTGTGTGTGTGTATATATATATATATATATTTTTTTTTTTTTGAAAGCCTAAAAGGCTAATATATTAAATAGAAAGAAAGATACAAGATACAATGTGTGGGAGGGCCCAAGCATGACTCCCTGTCCACACAAAAAACACAAATTGTTTAGTTCCAAAACTAGAAAAAAAAAAAACCAGAAAAATACATTTGATATTAAAATAAAAAGCATAATAGTCCTGAAATACATAGTGGCTCAAGAATGACCTAATTTGGTCTTGCCTCTGCCTCTTGTTCTAGGGTAGGAGCAAGCTAATAAGCTGGTAAGATGATTGTCATTGCCAGTTGTAACCAATGTATCATCTAATATGTTTCCGAGCTGGAGTCGGTCTTCATTCTTCTTCTTCCTCCTGGAATAGACCTGTCATTCCTCTTCCGAAAAATCAGTGTGATGCTGTGGTAGAACTGAAGCAGAAGGATTACCAATGTATTACCCACAATATGTTCTAGTATATGTGAAGTATGAGTTGCCTCTACACCGGATACTTCCTGAAGAAGTGGAGCTATGAGGCTCTCCTGATTATCAGTATGAACACTATCATTTGTAGGTGATAGTCCATCAGTATTGTTTTTTATGGGGTTTGAAGGTGTCAGCATCACATCACTCGCAGTAACAGTAACAACAGTGTCATGAGAGGGTTCCTCAGGGGCAATAGACACAACCTGTCTGGTAGTATCCTCCCCAGGTAGAACTAAAATGTTTAGAGCTGTGGGGTTAGACTCATCCTTATTCACTTGAACCTTAGATTTCAAATTTGGATGAAACTTGTGGCATTTATGAAGGACATGACCAAACATCTTACAGTGGGTACAATATGGGGGTCTGTACTCCGTGACGATTTGTTGTCAATAACGATTATGGGTTGTGCCTAGCCAGATTTCAGTAACATCAGATAAA